CAAGGACGCCACATGATAGTCAAGTTTTTAGTTGTGGAGGAGCTGTCCGCCTGCAACATGATATTTGGCCGTCCTACCCTCAACGCATCTAAGGCTGTCATCATCCCGTCCCTCATGTTGGTCAAATTTCAAAAGGATGATGGTACAGTCGGTGCCCTAAGCGGGGACCAGAAGACGGCAAGAGAGTGCTATCTCTCTGACGTCAAGACCACTATGGGTGCAGCCGGCCAGGGCGAGCCCATAGATATTGATAACTGCGACCCAGCAGTCCCGGCTCCAAGGGCAGCCGGTATGAAAAAAAGGCGGACCAACTGGCACCCGTCAAAAAGGAGAAATAGCAATCACTAGCCGGGGAAAGGTCAGATGACCAACGACCTCAGCCGGCCGGTGACTGCCTTGATGTCATCCTAGATGACAGCCGTCCTGAAAGAACAGTCAAGGTCGGGACGGTAGCCTTCGAACGGTTGGGAGAAGGCTTGCTCCAGCTGCTGAAGGAATTCAAGGACATCTTTGCCTTTGAAGTGGAAGAGATGCCAGGCGTCAGCCCGGATCTTGCTGTCCACAAGCTAGCCGTAGATCCCAAAAAGCAGCCGGTTAGGCAGAAAAAGAGGGATCATGGTGGAGAAAGATCTCAAGCGGCAGCGGCTGAGGTCAAAAAGCTGTTGGATGCTGGGTTCATTAGGCAATGCTACTACCCGGATTGGGTGGCAAATGTCGTTCTAGTAAAGAAGCCGAACGGTACTTGGCGGATGTGTGTGGATTACACAGATCTGAACAAAGCATGCCCAAAAGATAGCTACCCGCTTCCAAAGATTGACAGCCTAGTCGACTCAACAGCCGGCCATGCGTTAATGAGCTTTATGGATGCTTATTCCGGCTTCCATCAAATACCTCTCTGGAAGAAAGATCAGGAGAAGACGGCTTTTGTCACTGATCAGGGGTTATTCTGCTATACGGTGATGCCGTTTGGGTTGAAGAATGCACCGGCTACATTCCAGCGCATGATAAACACCGTTTTTATCAACCAGATTGGCAGGAATGTAGAGGCGTATATCGATGACATGATAGTCAAATCCAAGCTACAGACGGATCACCTAGCAGACCTGCGAGAAACCTTCACCACACTCAGGCGGCACCGGGTCATGCTTAACCCAAAGAAATGCGTATTTGGTGTTGAGTCTGGGAAGTTTCTCGGATTCTTGATTGACCAAAGAGGCATCGAAGCTAATCCGAAAAAAATACAGGCGGTAATTGACATGAAGTCTCCCCGCACTGTAAAAGAGGTCCAGAAGTTGACCGGTTGTCTGGCGGCATTGGGGAGGTTCCTCAGCCGGTCAGGTGACAAGTGCCTCTATTTCTTCCAGGCAATCAGGAAGAGGTCAAGGTTTGAATGGGGTGAAGAAGCAGAGGCGGCATTCCAGAGGCTTAAGCAGCACTTGCATTCTTTGCCAAGGCTAGTGAGCCCCCTACCCCGGGAGGTTCTGTACATGTACCTAGCCGTCTCTGATCACGCCCTTAGTGCCGTTCTCCTCGCTGAGAGAGACGGCATTCAGCTGCCGGTGTACTTCATCAGCCATGTCTTTAAAAATGCTGAGCTCCGGTACCCCATGATCGAAAAATTTGGGTTGGCCTTATTCGTAGCAGTCAAGCGGTTGAAGCCTTATTTTTTGGCACATCCGGTTGTGGTATACACAGATCAGTCGCTCAAGCGTACGATGACTGCTATAGAGTCATCCGGTAGAATGATCAAGTGGGCTGTTGAAATACAAGTCCTTGAGATAACTTTTGAACCCAGGCGGGCAGTGAAAGGTCAGGCGTTTGCCGACTTTATTGTCGAGATGACTAGGCCGGTGCACCCGGAAAACCCTGATCAGGTCTGGAAGTTATTTGTAGACGGCAGCTCTACGGTGAACGGCTGTGGTGCAGGTGTTATATGTCATTCCCCGGAAGGGGATAAGTTTGAATATGCACTACGGTTTAAGTTCCAAGCCTCCAACAATGAGGCAGATTATGAAGCCCTGCTAGCCGGATTGCGCATGTGTAAGGCAGCCGGTGCAAGAAAGGTTGACGCCTGCTCAGATTCACAGCTGATCGTTAGCCAATACCTTGGTGACTACGAAGCCACCCATCCGGCTATGATCAAATATTTGCAGGCGGTCAAAGAGGAGGCTGGGTCCTTCGATGAATTTCATCTGCGACAGGTGCCCCGGTCTGAAAACAATCAGGCGGATGCCCTCTCAAAGTTGGCATCATCAGCCTCCGGTGATGCTCCTAGGACGGTCTTTTGGGAATTCATTGAAAAACGAAGTATTCAGAATGATCCCATTGGAGTCTTGGACAGAACTGCTACCTGGATGGATCCCATCCGGTCCTTTTTGACGGATGGTACCTTGCCGGATGACCCTTCAGAAGCATCAGCGCTCAAGAAGCGTGCTTCAAGTTTTGTTATGCATCAAGGGGAACTCCTCCGGAAGGGATACCTGCAGCCGTTTTTGAAATGTGTAACCCCGGATAGGGGGAGAGAAGTTTTGGAAGATCTGCACGCGGGGTTTTGTGCCTCGCATATTGGCGGCAGGTCCCTGGCCAGAAGAACCAGACGACAAGGGTACTTCTGGCCCATTCTTGAAGCGGATGCCATGGATCTAGTAAAGAGATGCGACAAGTGCCAAAAATTCGCTAAGTTGATACATCAACCGGCAACAGAACTCACGGCAATCCATAGTCTGGTTCCGTTTGCTAAATGGGGCATGGACATTTTGGGACCTTATACGCCTGCATCAGGCGGCCGCCGCTACATTCTTGTAGCAGTAGACTACTTCACCAAATGGGTTGAGGCAGAGGCGGTAAAAGGGATTAAAACGAAAGACGTGATTTCTTTCATCTGGAGAAACGTCATCACCCGGTTCGGGGTTCCAATGTCCATGGTTTTCGACAACGGACCGCAGTTCGAAACGCCTGTCCTGAAGACCTGGTTGGGAGACCAAGGAATTTCCCATTGTTTTGCATCCGTTGGCCGTCCTCAGGCAAACGGTCAAGTTGAGGCTTTTAACAAGTTGATCTCAGACGGGATAAAGAAGAAAGTAGAAAGAGCCGGTGGACTATGGGCAGAGGAATTACCTCATGTCCTTTGGGCTATCCGGACAACCGAAAAGGGGGCAACCGGTGAGACCCCATTTCTCATGACATACGGCACAGAAGTAGTTCTTCCCATTGAACATTATGAGCCTACTCTACGCATTATGTTATATGATGAGGAGGCTAACTGGGAAGCCATGCGGTTGGCATTAGACGCTCTTCCAGAGCGAAGGGGGAATGCTGCCTTGCGTCATGAGATCTACCGTCTGCGTATGACTAGAGCCTACAACAAGCGGGTTCGTAAAAGACCTTTGAAAGAAGGAGATTTTGTGCTTCGCAAAATGGAGGCAACCGGTAGGGCCAATGAACAAGGCAAATTAACCCCAAATTGGGAGGGACCCTACCGGATCTTTGAAGAAGTACGAGACGGCACTTATCGCCTGGAAACTCCGGACGGAAGGAAGTTGCCTAGAACTTGGAATGTAGATAACCTAAAAAAATACTACTTCTAAGTATTGTACATCTTTTGAAAATTTTCAAATGATTAATGAGAATTACATTCAATTTTGTATACAGCCGCCATGTCTTGTGCCTACCACAAGCGGCACCAGTAACTAATTTTTTCATCCGGTGACACCCATACGGGTGAATTCATCGAAGAGAACATCTCCCATTTGGGTGGTAAATTGTTCTAAGCGATCACACAAGCGGACAAATCCGCCTGACGATCCTTCGCACCAAAAAAAAAAAAAAAAAAAAGGCCAGGCTAGCAACCCCAAACTTGCAGCCGGCTCACTTTTTGGAAGGACAGCCGGTAATCAATACCGCCGCCTGACTCTCTAAGAGCAGGCCTAAAATTTTTTGGTCTAGGCCATAATTCATTCAGGGGTATGCTTGCAAAAGCCCAACCGGTGAATGGACATCCTAATCTGGCGTGATTCTTTTGCGAAGTCCCGACCGGTAATTCAGTATAAACCGACTGGCTCCCGAATCTAATGTTGGCACTTAGTGTATATTCGAGCTATATCATATGGATAGTCGCCTGGCTTGCAAAGACCCAGACCGCTATCCAGGGGCAATTACCCAGACGCCATCCGGTTTGGTTTTGGGTCGAAATTTCTTCGCCTAGTTTGCGAAGACCCAGACGGCAGTGTTACCGGTGGGGTCTTCTTGGCAACCCTTGCAAATTTCTTCGCCTAGTTTGCGAAGACCCAGACGACAGTTACCGGTGGGGTCTTCTTGGCAACCCTTGCAAATTTCTTCGCCTAGTTTGCGAAGACCCAGACGGCAGTGTTACCGGTGGGGTCTTCTTGGCAACCCTAGTAAATTTCTTCGCCTAGTTTGCGAAGACCCAGACGACAGTGTTACCGGTGGGGTCTTCTTGGCAACCCTTGCAAATTTCTTCGCCTAGTTTGCGAAGACCCAGACGGCAGTGTTACCGGTGGGGTCTTCTTGGCAACCCTTGCAAATTTCTTCGCCTAGTTTGCGAAGACCCAGCCGGCAGTGTTACCGGTGGGGTCCTCTTGGCAACCTTTGCAAATTTCTTTGCTGTTTGCGAAGACCCAAGCGGTAGTGTTACCGGCGGGGTTCTTTTGGTTATCCTCGCAGAAATATGTATAAAAAATAACAAGAATTCTAGTATTGAAGTGCAGAAACATAAAAAGCATCCAAAAGCCGGCTCAGCCGGTAAAAATGTTAATATTCAAAATAAAAATTATTACAGCTTATCCCATCTCATCCGGTGCTATTACAAGATAATGCAAGGCGCGCAGGCCGGGAAGTAGTTGTTACTCCAGGCGAACAGTGAACCGGTCCTATTCCGGTTGGTTCTGGGTTGGATCAGGGTGAGCGGCTGCGTCGGCTTCAGGAACGACTTCTTCCTCTTCAGCAGCCTCCGCCTGCCGTCGCGCAATCTCCTCCCTAACTCAAGCGTCATAGGGTCCGGGCCCCGGCTCATTCGCCTCCTCGGCCAGAATGGCAAGATCAGAATATTTGAAGGCGAGTTCCCAGACGGTGAAGTCCGCCTCCGGGTGGATGATGGAAAACGCCCGTTGCATCCGGTTTGCACAGTCATGCTCATTCTCTTCAATGAGCCTCTCCTGCTCCGACTCCAAGGTGGCCTTGAAGTTCTCATTGGCAGCAACCGCCTCTTTGCGCAGGCGCTCATTCTCTTTGGCAAGGCGGCCATTTTCAGTCTCCGCCTTGCTCAGCCGTTGGAGGGGCTCTTTCTGTTCCCCCAACTTTTTATTGGCATCATCCAGGGACGCCTGCAGTTGGTCAACTTGGTTTTTCAGCTGATCAATCTGCTGTTGGAGGGCCTTGGTCTTCTCCGCCTGTTCCATGCGTATAGATTTAGATTCTAAGCCATGCATGTACAAAGAGTAGTCAGCAACATTATGGGCGTCATCAACAGCCCGTTTGCTTCTCCTTACCTCTTCAGACTTGCGGGCATAAGCTCGTTTGAGCCCCTCTACGCGCAGCATAGCCTGCAAAAATACAGCCGGTTAATACTGCATATTTAAAAATGCACGTCAAGAAAATTACCGCATGGTTGATGGAGCATACGTCGGCCAGGTCGACCAGCACCCGGTCGGCATTAAAGGAGTTGATCCCAGGGATCGCCTCCTTCTCGTCCCTGGGGACGGCTTTCAGCATGGCCCGGGCATATTGTGCCCCGTCCGGCCAGCGGGGAGAATTATCTACACCAGAAACAGACGGTGAGAAACTCGCATATGCTCTGCCTATAGATTGCCGGCTGATTGGAGAATCCCCCGGCTGCGATCGAGACTGTGAATAAGACTTGACCCGCATTGGCAGATCAAGCAGTGTAAGGTCGAAGTTACCTTGGCGGCCCGAACGGCCTTCAGAGGGACCGGTTGCGGTCCTCAATGGGATGGCAGAAAGCACATCCGCAGATCCAGGCCCGCCTGGGACCTTTATTGATTTGCCGCCGGTAGTTTGCCGGTCGGCTGTCTTCTGCACCTTGGATGCAGACTCTTGTTGGGTCGGCGGAGGCCTGACCTGTTTTTGAAGGGACCGGGGCATCTGCTTCCCGTCCTATAAACGAGAGATAAGTTATGGGATAAAAGGATTGAAATAAACGAGAAGGATCAGACGGTTATACCTTCTTCGCCGCCTGGGCAGCAAGTTTTTTCTCGAGATTGGCTTTCCGGATGTCGGCAGCCGACCTAGCCGGTGTCTTCTCGGTGGGCAGCATTTTCTTGGCTTCTTCTGCAGAGGAAGGCACACGGTTAGAATAATAAATAAGCAAGGAAATAAAAGCATCCGGTTTGAATAAAACCGGCTGAGTTCCGAATACATACGTTTTTTAAACATGCTGCTTAGACCACAAGCGGACAAGAAGCATTCGTCCCTAAAAAATTCATGTTTGGGCACCCAGTTTCTAGGTACCCTTACTATCTCTCCGGATGAGAGGGTGTCAGGAACTAACTCAAAAAACCCGGAGTCAAGGATGGTCTCTCTATCATCCTCCGGGACAGGGGGCAGGCAGCACTTGGTCCCCAAGAGTTCTGGTTTCCGGTTGTAGATCCGGAATTCTCTGTTCTCTGCTGTAGTTGGGGCCTTAACCAAGTAGAACCGGTGCTTCCAGTCCGACCATTTGGATGGCTTGTCCAAGGTCATAAGGTATTTGGGCTGGGTGGTCAAGGTATACCAGGCTCTCCAGCCGCCTGGGCTCCTACTCAAGTAATGCATGTGGGCAAACGCCTCCCAGCCGGGGTTGAGGCCCTGCATCTCGCAGGCGGCGATATACCCTAAAATATTTACCCATGAGTTGGGGGTTAATTGCAAGAGACCTAGGACATACCCCCTAAGTATGGCTTTTATTGTGTCGTGGAGAGGGAAGCGGACTCCGACCACGAAGGCCGCCTCGTAGCACCCGAACCAAGCGTTCGCGTTCGGTTGTCCATCCTCCCACCATATTGTTCCTAGAGCAGCCGGGATTTTTATTGAATAGTCACCCCCCAGCGGCCGCTGTTTGATAAAATCCGGCAGCGCAGCCCGCATGAGCTCGCGGTCCTTAGAGGAGACGGCGATCATGAGAGGATCGTTCCTATTATCCCAAGAAGGCCTCTCCGCCTCCTCGCTATCCTCAGATTCGGTTAAGTAGCTGCTACTGCTACTTTGAACGTGACCGGCATCAGAGCCGGCTGGGGAGTTGGAGACCTCCTTATCAGAGCCTACCTGCTCTCTGGTCTCCTGGAGGGGAGCACTCTCTTCGTTTAAAATGCTATCACCCGGGGTGCTAGGAGCGCCCCCGGGTGAGCCTCTCTGCTCTACCTCTCCTTGCTCTACTTCACCGCCTGAAGCTGGGACCTCAGGCGGCTGCTCATCTGAGCTCCCACTTCTGTAGTTGGGATCTCTGGCAGTAGACCGGATTCTGGCCATTGTGTCCTGCACAGACACAGAGTCGGTCGATATGGGTGTTGAAAAAGGGTTGTCCCAAAGAACAGAGGCGGCAGACCCAGTTCTAGACTCAGCCGTACTAATAAACCGGCTGAGTTCACAGCTAGGTTCCGGGTATGGGTATAAGGGGTCCATCTACTTATGGGACCAATGAACAAAAATGCGAGTAAAAGAGTCAAACGGAAATACATGAAAAAGCTAGAAAGAATAGAGACGGTACCTAGAAGAAAATCTGGAAATTCTTTGGGATGCTTGCGAAGACGCATGCGGTTCAAAATCCGGCTGGGTTTCTCTGATTACCCTCTCGAAAACCTCTGGCTAGCTTGCAACGACCCAGACGGTCTGTAGACCGGTTGCTCTCAACGAATCTCAACTCCGAATGCTCTCAACTCTCAAATTGCTGGCTGCTCTCAAATTTTCAGAAATTTGGCAAAGGTGTAAATGAGAGCTCGGGGGACATCTTCTCCTATTTATAGAATTTGTCCCAGAAGGTGAAAAGTCGTGACTCTTCGCCTTCTGCTTTTCCATCCTTCAAAAAAAAAAAAAAAAAAAAACCTTTCACCGGCGCCACGTGGCACCCTGCCACGTCAGCACCAGTGAGGGGAAAATGTTTGGGGTAAAAATACCCTAAACACGTGGCCCAATGGCCTAGTGACACGTGGCATCCAGCCGTTGGTCAGCAGGGCTCCAATCCTCTGCTGACACGTGTCCTCTAAACCCTAAAAGGGAAACCATCCCTTCCCCACTATAAATAGTGGAAGGACCCTCATTAATGGGGGGCTGGAACATTTGTTGTTCACATTGAATACTCCTCAAAAAGAAAAACACTTACCCCGAGCAATATTAATTGCAGAATTCTCCCATTACGCGAGAAGTAACTTCTACATTACGTGCATTCTACCTCCCGTATCTTTACTAACTTGATCGTCGGAGGCGGAGCTCCTACCCCCAGGAGTCTTCGTGATTTTGCAGGCACAGGCGTCGAAGGGCATTCTTGGAATTGTAACTCTCCCGCAGGACACATCAAAAAACCCCGAAACAAGCCCTATTACCTTTTTATTTTTGGGTTTCTCTTCTAGATGCCAGACCTTGTTCCTTTCAAACTCATTGAGTTCATCTTGCATGGCAATTATCCAGTCAGTATCTTTGAGAGCTTCTTCATGATTTCTTGGCTCAATTGTGGATAGAAAGGCTTGGAAGGCACAGAAGTTCCTCATCTGTGATCTGGTTTGAGTTCCTCAACCAATGTCACTTATGATGAGGTCAGTAGGGTGAGAGCCTTGATATTTGAAGGGCTTTGGATGAAACTCTCTAGCAGGAACTCCTATTTGAGGCACTTCTTCTTCTGCTTCCTCAGGTTCCTCTATGTTGCATGTTTCTTCATGATCTTGTTCCTCCTGAACTTCAGGTGGAGAAACTTCAGAATTCTCCTGATGATCTTGTTCAGGTTCAACTTGTTTTTCCTTGGGATGACTGTTTTCCTCTTCATCATCCTCCCTGTTTCTAACCATACCAATTTCATAATCATTAGAGTCTTGTTCCTGCACATTCATAAACATATTAGATTCATCAAATATCACATGAATGCTTTCTTCGACACACATAGTATTTTTATTGTAAACTCTGTAAGCCTTGCTATTTGATGCATAGCCAAGGAACACAGCTTCATCACTTCTTTCATCAAATTTTCCTATGTTCCTTTTTCCATTATTATGGACAAAGCACCTGCATCCAAAATCTCTAAAGTGAGAAATATTAGGCTTTCTACCCTTAAACAATTCATATGGAGTTTTATTGATGATTGGTTTCATCATAACTCGATTTATAATATAACAAGCAGTGTTGATAGCTTCAGCCCTAAAGTTCCTTGGAAGTCCACTAGCTATGAGCATTGTTCTTGCCATGTCTTCTAGGGTCCTGTTCTTCCTCTCTACAACTCCATTTTGTTGAGGAGTTAGTTCTTGGGGCTGAGAAGTTATGATCCATGCCATTTTCTCTGCAAAACTCATCAAATCTTGAATTTTCGAACTCAGTTCCATGATCTGACCGAATGTGAATAATTTGATTTCCACTGGTCTTCTGCACTTTCTTAGCGAATGACACAAATTGATCAAAGGTTTCATCCTTGCTAGACAGAAAAATCACCCAGGTAAATCTAGAAAAATCATCAATAATAACTAGAACATATTTCTTTCCACTTCTACTTTGAACACGCATGGGACCACACAAATCCATGTGTATAAGTTCCAATGGCTTTGTGGTGCTCACCAAGTTTTTACTTTTAAAAGATGACCTGACTTGCTTGCCTCTCACACATGCATCACAGATATGTTGTATGAGGAACTTGACTGAGGGAAGCCCTATGACCAAGTTCCTTGCTCTAAGTTTATCCATGAGTGAGAAACTAGCATGTCCAAAACGTTTTATGCCATAATAAAGGATCATCATTAATGGCACTTAGGCATGTAAGGTTGTTCCTTGGAACAGAATTGAGATCCACAGTATAAGTGTTCCCTTTCCTAGTTCCTTCAAGAACAACCCTTCCTATTTTGTCATTAATGATGTTGCATGAATCAGAAGTAAAACTTACAGAGTTTCCTTTGTCACAAAATTGTGATATGCTCAGCTAATTGTGCATCAAACCCTCGACCAAAAGTACATTTTCAATTGAATGGGAACTTGACCTTCCAACTTTTCCTTTTCCAATGACTTCTCATTTCTTATTGTCTCCAAAGGTCACAGTTCTTCCATAGGTCTCAAGAGAGAGGAATTTTGATTTTTCTCCTGTCATATGCTTTGAACAACCGCTGTCGAGGTACCACGTGTTGTTCCCCCTCACTAGGACCTGGAAAAGAACTCATTGATTAGTTTCAGGAACCCAGGTTTCCTTGGGTTCCTTGGACGTTGAAGCAATATCAGATTTTCTAACCCAAACTTGCTTAACATTCTTAATAACAGATTGTTCCTTCTTATAACAAGTGTTCACTAAGTGACCTGTCTTCCCACAAAAGGAACAAACTTTATGGCTAGGTAAATCAACATATTTCTTTTTACCTTTATGCTTAGATCGAATGTATCCTAGTCCTCCAGTTCTTTTGGTTTGAGCATTCTCAATCCATTTAGGTACACCAAGCAGACCAGTGCTTCTTTCTTTTCTGATTGCAAGTTCCTTTTCTAAATTTTCCTTTTCAATTCTTAACTCATCAAGATTGTGTTTTAATTTTTCAAAATCTTCATTAAACTTAGGCTGTGATTCAGAAGAGGAACTTGACGATTTAAAGTCAGTACTGGCAAGCTTGTATTGAGTTAGTTCTACATTAACCATAATATTTTCATACTTGAGTTTTTCATTCATTTCTTTTAGAAGAAGATTCTTATCAAAAAGATCAAAGAATCTGCCTTGAACATCAGTACGCTGGTTCTCAATCCAAGCATTGTGTTCCTTGCAGACTTTAAGAGCTTTTTCACATTCATTAAGCTTTTTAATATCAATTATCCAGTCATCTTCTATTTCTACAATGTAATCAATAAGTACTTCTTTAGGAAGAGTTCTAAGATGATTAGGATCAGCACGTACCTCTTTGGCCAGTTCATCATTGTAGGCCTTTTCATCACGTTTGGCCATTAGACATAAATTGGCTGTTTCTTCTTCAGGTTGTTCCTCCTCATCATCACTCTCAGAATCTCCCCAAGCAGCAATCATAACCTTCCTAATGTCTGTTTTGTTGTAAGGAGTCTTGTTGCTCTTGTTCTGTTCCTTGGCCTTCCCTTTACCTTTCTCAGTTTCCCACAAGGGGCATTCATGAATGAAGTGATCTAGGGATCCACATTTGTGACATCCGGAATCAGCTTTTGAGTTAGATGACTTTTTGGTGAAGTTCCTTGTTCTATTGTTTCGATTAAACATTCTTTTGAACCTTCTCACCAACATGGCCGCTTCTTCTTCATCTACCTCAGATTCTTCTTGATCACCAGCTTTGAGAGCTAAGCCTTTTCCTTT